TGACCTCAGTCTCCTGAGTGTAGGGACATCCACATTATGACATTCCACAAACAGTTTGGAGACAAACAAGGCAGACTCTTTGATCTAGTCTCAGACAACACAGGTTTGGAGAAAAAAGACAAATAAAAAAAAAAACAAAAAAAAACAGCAATGGTCACTAATGTGGACATCTTTTACACAGGTTGGCCACATTAGAACCAAGCTAAATAACTAATTCAAGAGTGTGGCCCATTTGGTGGGAAGGGACAGAAACATGCTTATGATTTAAGGTTTCATTCAGTAATGATCATTCTCTGTCTGCACTAGAATTGCTTTAATCTACATGCATATTAAGATTTTACACCAGAGCGGGTATCCAATCTGCAGAAGTGCACCACCCCACACCAAGGCAGTCAGAGCCACTCCAGGCCCATACATATGGTTCTCTCATACCCATAGCTGTCTGGTAATCATAGCAAAGGTACTTCAATACTCTGGGTCAAGTACAGCACACCAGCCACTGGAGCCCAGCCACCAGACTCCCCCATGCATACCCTCTCCTGACTGTGGGAGACGGACACTGTACGTAGAAGCATCCCCACCTACAGGCTCAGGTGGGGGTCGAAGCCAGTCCCGGGGCTCACCATCCCAATAAGGCCCGATTCCAGGTCCCCGATCCCCCCACCTCCACCCACCACATGAGGAGATCTAACACATCCTGCATTAAGCCAGTTTTCAGAACACAAAAGACTGGGACATCTGGGTTAAGTTGCTTGACCGATAGGGTCCAATTGGGTCAAGCAACTAGGGGGGAGATACAGCTAACAGGAACAACTCAGCCTTACCCTAAGTACGACTCGATCCAAGCCATAAAGACATACTGGACCACTCTGCAGCCCAATCCAGAGACGTAAGGTACCAACCAAAAAGACACTTTGAGTTTCTGGGAGTTTGTTTATTACAAAACAAAATGATTTTTGATACAAACTGCTGCTTTGAGGACAACTTGATTAGTACAGTTCCTCAGATGCGAAGACCAGAAAGGTTTCATTTGCTGTATATATCTTAGAGAATCAGTCAATTCAATTCAGTTCAAGTTTCTACCTTAAAGGGGAATTAAATCAATAAAATTTTATGAAGTTTAATAAAGAATATAAATGAAATAGAAAAGTCTGATTTGCTAGTCTATGATAAATAGTTGGTTGTAAATTTGTTGGTGTTAAATTACCTACCTTTTACTTATGATAAAGGTTTTCTTCATGATGCAATTCTCTTCTCCAAACCTTCTGATATCAAATAAGTTCTTGGTTCCTTTGAAGCCTCCTGACTCTGCATGTAAGAAATTGGGTGATCCCTTCTTTGGTCAGGCTTTAAAAGGCCACATCCTGTATGCTGCATGGGATCCTGTGGTGCCTCAGACTATCTCCTCTAAGAGGTTTATCAGCTCGTGCCTCAGAGATTAGGCGCTGCTTATCATCAGGATGATTCCTATTCAAACGGCACATCTGAAGCCAATTTTAACAGCTCTCACACACGGACAAAAACACCAGTCACCAGAGCACTTAAATGAATACATAACTTTATTTAAATAAATGCTTTGTCATTACAAAAAAAGACAAAGGTTAAAAGAGTACATAAATTACAAGTTGAATAAATATTACACAGTGATATTCACTTTAATAATTTGAGATTTTTTAAAATATTTTTGTTGTTTTTGTTTCTGTATTTGTCGTATGTAGCTCCAAATACTGACCAATGTTTTCCCACTGCCACCGATGGTTCCGTCTCAAATGCCGGAGAACACCAAATTATGAAAACCAATTGTCTCTTTACAACCAAAAACTGTTATGTACTCTGAACAAAAGAAGCTGTTCTGTTAACTGTCCTACTGAATAATGAAGTATGAGTTTAAACCATGTTGGAGATTAGGAAATCTGGGGTTAAAACATTCAAAAGATCTTCAGAGATCAGATCTTCATTTGTTTTAATTCACTAAGAGGAACTAACAACCACCTCAATTCTCTTGATTGTAGTGTTAAATGCCCCAGATTTCCCAAACTCCCTGTTTCTGTTTCACTAACTGTATCTAAAGTGGTGAAATTGGTGACTCCCTCATCGGGAAAGTGGCTAAGCCCTAACAGTGACCACAGCCTGCTCCTGGTCCTTTTCCTCCTGCTGCCCTCTCTGGATCAGCTGTCATTTCTGTGCAACATCTCCCTCTTTTTTTTTCTTTTTCTAAAGAAATGCAGCTACTCTCCAGATTCCCAGGCAGGAGCTTCATCAGCCCCTGTCACTAAATCAAAACTTCCAAACATTGTTTCGGAAAGGTAAGCTCACCTTGGTTTAGTTTGTGGTTCGCCTGACACCATGAAACCACATTTCAAGATGCTGTTGTGCATTAGGTTCTGTAGTGAGTACATGAAATAAGTGCAAGCTGTTTTGCCCTATACGTGAAGTTGGGGGTTGGAGCCTTGATGTGGTTTTTACAACCAGAAACAAGATATGGTGCTGTGCAAAAGTTTTAAACAAAACCAAATTTAAAAAAAAACAATATTTTTTTGCATGCAGTAAGGTGTTTCTGCAATCCTTTAAATTGATTCTAATCAACAGGTCTTCTGGCTTTTTGAGGGTTATTCAAAATTTCTACTTGGGTCTTGGCTCCTTTCTCACTCTTTTTAAGCCCAGTACATGACCAGTGATGAGAACTTCAGGGGATCGTCTACTGCCCATCCAACATGTGAATGTTGGCCCCATGTAGATTCTTTCTCTGGCTGGATAGGTACTGAGTTGGCCTGAATAAATACAATTTACATGTGAAAAAAAAACATTTGAAACCCTTAATATTGGGGGTAGCTGGGTTTTAAACGGGAAACTGGTTTGAGCTGCACAATTCTAGGTTTCCTTGTATAAAATCTATATCAATACAGAGGCAAGTGTCATTTACAGTCGTACGGGGCTTGTATGTGAAAAAAAAAACAAATGTTCAACCGAAGCCAGACAGTAAATTAGATTCATTATATGTTATTTTCTATAGACAAAGGCCGGTAGTCTATAGTTATTCTAGTTGGATCAGGGGCAATATTTGGTCATATTTCATATGAGAAGATTAACCCAACATGGAATATAGAACCAAAGTCACTTGAAATTAATTATCATTTAATATCTATAGAAAATAGTAAACAAATATGCATGGAAATTTATTTCAATGCTTTGATCATGAGACACGCTCATCCCTTGAATGAAACATGGTTAAAATAGAAAAAAAAATCTACTGAAAGGAAAATTAATGAAAATGCAGCCAATTGCAAAAAAAAGAAAGAAAAAACAAATTAAAAGACTGTTCATTTAAACCATCTTTAAGGATTTCAAGGGATTCTGAGTGCATAGAAGCAAAAGTCAAATAGAAGAGGAATTGCTAAGGACTAATGCACAGCACCCCTGGATGCACACATTCCCTCTCATGTTTGCAGACTGAACAACTTCTGCATCCTGTGTATCTCCCCGTCAAACATTGGCATTCACATAAAAAGAAAAAGTGAGAAACTTAGCTTATCAAGTTGTCCAAGGAAGAGAAGGAGGTTTCGCTCCTTCCCTGTCCAGAATTTAACCCGAGGTACTATACAACATCGCAAACGGAGCTGGACTCAATTTCAAAGACCGACCACATTCACTGGCTTCTCTCGGTTAGAGCTCCAAACCTCGTCTGAATCCCCCCCCCCCCCCCCCGTGTCGCTTTTACGTCAGCATGTAAGTCTAAATATGTAGGAAGGCACACAGAAAGGAAAAACCGGCCCAAAGACCCGCTCCTGTCATGCTTTCATGGTGCTTCACTGAGTTAAAGGCAGAAAACTTAGAGAGCAGGCAGCTTTCTCTAACTGCCCCGTCAGCTGCTCTAACAGGATACTTTCTAATTCTTTACAGGCAAAAGTCTTTGTTTTTTTTACTCCAAGCTCATTTACATGTTTTTTTTTTTTACAGGAAAAACAACACTCAGGAAGTATATTTAAAAGTAATGTAATACACCATGAATACATTGTACTGAGGGGGAAACATGGCTCAAAATGTAGGGCAGTCTTTTACTTCACTGAAGGCAAAGAAATCAGCACAAATAAAACCACAAAAAAAAAAAAATAGTCAGAGAGGAAACCAGCCTGAAAGGCAAGTTTGATCCCTAAAGAAATGCCGACACGGAAAAAAAATCAAACTTACTTCCTGTCGCTGAAGCCGAGAGTCTTTGTTTTCACCAGCAGAGCTGCGTGGCGCCCTGCCTGGCAGTGTCTGCTCAAATAGGCACAGTTGGCATGTCAGGCTAGCTAAATGGTCGAAGAGCCACACACATATGTTCATCTGTGACCGTCTACTCTCTCTGTCTGAATGCTCCGAGTCCCCAAACACATTCGTAATGTTAGAGAGGAAGGCCGGGTCCGAGAACACGTCAGACGCCGGAATTGCTCGTTTAGGGAAATTGAACAAAAGAGACGATTGTAACATTCTTTTGTTGTTGGTATTTTTCTGAAAAAGGCTCACTCTGTAATACACCAACGCATCACATATTCACACAAAAAGGTTTACATTTCTAAACAGGATCCCTTTTTAAGTGCTCTGATAAAACCACAACCCCAGTTAGACCAAAAAATCCCAAATTTCTCGGGCCAAATATCAGTTCCAAAACATGCAACTGATTCCTCTTCCTCCTCCTTCTTCGTGTGGCAGATTTTCTAAACGCATCAAGGACCATTCTGCAGCTTTTCATGCAGCCAGGCTGAAACAAGGGTCCCAAAGTGGTCTCCTCTTTCAGAGAACAGTGCTTGGTTGATAAGAGAAAACAACTATATTAGTCTTTTTTTCTTTTTAGCCTGCTTCGTTTATCTGAGATTTTTCCCTCTTCTTTTTCAGTTCAATAAAAAGGTCTAGATGTGAGCAGAGGGCGGAGCATACAGGTGGGATTCAGAGAAGATGGTGGGCCCTGGGTCATGTGATAGTTATGAGGGGAGGGGGTAGGGGAGGGGAGTGGACTGCTCCCCCCCCTCTGATTCACTCGTTGATGCTGCTCTCCAGGTCTTTGCACTGAATGTCTCCCCCGCTGTAGTCCGTCCCCGGCAGCTGGACACCGTACTTGTCCACGCACCAGCAGATGCCCCGCTTGCGGCCGCGAGATGGTTTGCACTGGAAAACAGAACAGAATGGGGGAACAATTTAGGTAAAAATTAAAACAAAACAAACATCTCATGACAAAAATGTCCCCAATCAGCTGGCAGCAAAAGGAATTAACCTTTCTGCATTTTCAGTCCAACTTCAACTCACAATTTTGAATAAATAAAAGAAGAAAACAATACTTGAAAACCAAGGAATGGACTGGCTTTGATATCCCAACTAATAGGTCCTTTCATCAGTTCATACCTGAACATCATACCAGCGCAGTTTGTTCCCTTCAATGATGTCATTGCGTACCTTTGATCTTCAACTATTGCTTATAGAAAAGCTGAGATATTTTCAGTATGTAATACATATAGAGTTGTGTTTAATGAACCTATTAAATAGACTTTCAACTGAATATAGAAAACCTATTTACTGTAAATCAGCAGTGGTACAAAATATCCCTGTGGTGTTAAAAAAAACCTTATTATAAACTCATTATAAAATGTTCTGAAGAAGATGCCATAGCTTACACCTAAAAACAGACGAAGCAGGAAAGCAGTCAAATCACCAGCTAATTTCAGCCTAATGAAGTCTGCATGTGATTGCTTTGTGTGTTTCTAGAGTGTCCACTAGAGGGCATAAGTGGAAATTGCACCACTGGCCCTACAGGCGTGTGCCTGAGCATCCAACAATGAGTCCACACAGTAAGTGAAACTCAGAAGTTACCGAAGATCAATTTTAATTGATCTACAAATCGTTTCCAGATTTTTATGAAGAGTCAGAAGTTCCTTTTATGGTGTGCAGGAGGCATGGGGGTAGCATCAGGGAGTAGTCATACTGCGCAGCATGATCAGAATGAATTTTAGACCACCATGTTTGTGTAAATAAACAGAAAATGTAATTTTGGCTCCTCTTTCCTCATGATTGAAACATTTTATTTAAGTATAAATACATAGAAAACAATCAAAACATGATTCATAAATAATATGTAGCATTTATGGAAAAACAATTTATATGAGACTGAGCATTTGTATCCACTGCTTCCGACATGTGGTCGATCAGACATGTGCGGGCTCCACATGCAGCATTACATGCCAATAAGACTCTTACACGTGAACATATCCATCTAAAACTGAATTATTGATGTGTTCTTTAAAACTGAGCTCCATGTATATTCATACAAACACCCTATGCTTATTTTCTACTACTTGCATGCATACTGCTTCTCCATAGATTATTCTTTACAGTGTGCATACCAACAAGAGATCAGGCTGGTTCTTTGTGCCTCTACTCTAAAACTTGTTTTTGTATTTGACCATTGTCAGAGAGAACCAGTTTCGTGGTATAAACAAGCAGTAAAACATAAAAAGACTTTCCTGTTTAAACCACAAAACAAATCTTTTGGGCTCTAACGTTGCCAAGAGTGGATGTTGCATGGGCCCACTTGTAATTCCTCAAAAAATTGAAGGAAATTTCTTTGTTTGAAGCCGCATGGCAGACGTACTGTTTAACTCTGAAGTTGTGAGCCCTATTGCCTTGCAGCAAGGTGGTCATGGCTTCATTTTGAATCTTCTCCTTATGCGTGGATGGGCTTCACTGGATTCTTTTTTGACTGTCCTAAAACATGCACTAGACACTGTACTCGTACATTCTGTCTCTTTTTTGCCCTTTTGTCCACTGACCACTGGAAACCTAACACTGATTGAGGAGGCATATATGGATAGATGTGCCAACTGGTGACAAATGAAGGGAGCACATACTTCTGACAGTAAATCTCTGGGTCAAAACTGGAGGTCATTAAATATTTTCAAACTTTCAACAGTTAAAACCTCTAGAATTGGTCAGAGTGCAAAATTTCTGGTGCTAATGAAAAGAGAAAGGATTTACTTTATTACTTGTCGACCTAGGCAGACCACAAACAGCTGCCAAATTCTAAGATCAGTTGTACATGCTTGGCCCCAAACCAACACAGAACACAATTTTTTGATTTTTTCTCTAAAGTTCAGACTTTATATGCTTCCCAACTTTGGTTGAATGAGACACCAGCTGCTATTAAAGGCATACTATGCAAAATTTTTCAGTTAATTAATGTGTTCCATAACGTTTTGGATGATTAAATGAGTCATTTCAGGTCGAACAAAGGTTTTCTCGGCCGCCCTGGTGGTCTGTAGGGGAAATACCGTACTTGCAATTGCAGGAGCCCTCGTCCCGCACCCACAGGCTCAGAAGTCTGGTGCATCGCCAGAGTCGGTCTTGCTTTACGGCGAGAACTGCTACACGCCCCCAGTGAAAGGCATGCTCGTTGCTAGCGCAGTGGCGATATTTGTGCAGTTATCATTGCGTAACCAGCGAGAAAACAGCGAAAGCCCATGTCGGAGCAGGCAAGAAAGAGGAAAAGGGCTCTCTACCGCAGTAGACATGGTGATTCGTTGCGTTCGCCTGTCTGCTAAGCTCAAAACAACCGCGCCTGGCTCGACGTAGAAACCAGGAGAACAGCTTAGCATATTTACGACAGTGCACTTTTACTTTCGCCCTCTGGGGGGAGCCTCGCAGGAAAATCAACACCGGTTGCATAGTATACCTTTAAAGCAGGACCATAGCTGGGAACTTTAGAAATAACCTGAAGATTGCTAATAATCCTCTAAAGTAGTTTGTAAAAGTGGGTTGAAAACAATGATACAGAACACGAAAGTGGAAGTTCTGTGATGATCCTCATAAAACAGTTTTTAAAATGGTTCTTGCAGCATGGTTCTACCAAAACGCAAAAGATCAATCCAGTAACCACGAATAGATTAAAGGCATTTCTGCCTAGTGGAACCTAGAGTGGGAACCACAGACCCACCCTAGGGGGCGCTGGGGAGGCCTCAGATAATTGGGAGAAAAATAAGAAAAAATATATATAAGAATAGAAAGCTTGTAAGTAAAGAAATTTGATCATACCATGTATTTTACTAATTGTTGTTATAAATTTAAATTTATAAAAACAAACATGCTCACCAGAAGAGCCATGGGGATTAACGAGTGAACTTTTTTTTAGATACCGTTTGTAAGGATTATCCCACTCGGGCTGACAGGGAACTGAAACATCTTCACCGTTATGCAATATTATATTGGTGTGAGTCAGACTTTTTAACTTTAAAGGTACTGAAAGTAAGCCATGGTGCAGGTCTGCATGTGGACATTGAGGTGTGATTGGCACTGACAGGCAGTGATTTATTTTTTTTTTTTATCAGAAGTTTGAAGGTGGGTTTGTTGTTCATTGGAAAAATAATAGAAAGTTATGAAACATACAAAACATACAAGCTAATATTTTAAATTAACAAAATTTAATTGGAATAAAGTAAAAAAAAAAAAATGTAAATTTTTCTTTGCATATTTTGTTAAGTGGAATTTGAAAAAAGAAACATTTGGAAATATTATGGCCTTTGATGCTTGTTTTTTTACACTTTCCACCTGTATAACCGAATTACTTAATGCAGTTATACAGGTGGAAACTAATTATACTTTTTTTTTATCTGAATAGATTTAATCCTGTTAAATAACACAGCTGTTCAACACAGCACTTGGCTCAGAGCAACTTTTAAGCTAAAATTTAGCACAATGATTCGTGATGCAAAGCATTAAGAACTTGGGTCCATCTTTGATAAAACCAAACAGGATTGGAAACAAATTAATAACTCTGTGCTCATATTTCTGGTAAAAAAAAAAAGAAAAAAAACAGAGTAGTGAGGAAAGTATTAACTGTCCAGTTAATAAAAAACCCACCTGTTTACGCTTGAAGAATCCTTTTCTGTCACAGTTGGGAAGGTAGAGAGAGAGGGCCATGACTCTTGAAGTGTCCTTCATTTTTTGAATGATCTCATCCAGTTTTCTCCGACAGGGACCCTTTGAAAAATATAGCAGAGGGTTAAAAAAAAACAATGTTATGTCCGTTAAAGTTATTCCAATTTAAGAATTTCAAGTAAAAAGTAGCAAAAAGCTGACAGATTCATTAAAGCACACACACATCCCGCACACTGCAAGGGATTTTCAGCAACAGAACTTACAAATTCAGGCTCGTGATGCTTGTCGATGTCCATGGGGGAGTAATCCACATTGGGGATATAGCTGCGTTGCTTGGAAAGCTTCCTCTTCTCCTCCTTGCGCACTGCAATCGCTTTTTTACTGTTCACAATGTCTTTTGGAAGGAGTGGTACTTTGGCTGGCTGCACCACTGCTGTAACTTCAGGAGTCATGGCGTCCATATCCAGCCGGCTATCCCGATCTGCAGAACACAAGTGAAGAGCAGTTACATCACAGGATCCCATGTTGTTGCGTGTGCATCAAAACGTGTGTCGAAACAAATTGCAAATGCAACACAAATCGGTATTAATTGAAGAAGTAGCTCTCTCAAAAGCAGAAGTATACACCATGGAACATCAAGGAGAACTTATTGATAAAAAAAAATGAAATCTATTGAAATTTATCATGACTAATGCCATTTTGTATTGATTTAAATGCAAAGTTTCTCCTGCTCTTGTGACTTCCCAACAATAGCACACAAACTTATTCTGTGGCTAAATTATTGTTAGCAAAATGATTAAATGTCATGCAGCTTCTAGCAGCAGACCCATCTTCTCAGATAAAATAAAGCTTTAATTTTCTTGGACAGGACCATATATGTCCTGCCAGGCTGAAGCTGAAGGTTTTGTTTATTTAAAAGATTACTGTCGACCGTATTTATCAATGTCAAAACCACTTTGAATGTATGGTAGGGATTAGCCTCGTGAGACCATCCTGATCTCGCGAGCTTTCAAGGTTTTACTCGCAGATCAGTCTGGAGACTCTCCGTTAAAGAAAATTTGGAGCCGTTCACCAAACGAACATCCAATCAGCGTTGGCTTTGAGGCGGGTTGAGGTGTGACGCAACAAGAAGCGCGACTGTTCAGTCTAAAAGAACATGGCGGCTTCATCCGATGAAACTAGCGTTAGGGTGGCTATCGAGCAAGTTTTATCGGAATTACAGAGTATTTCTTCACTGAAAGAAGAGCAAAACACTGCTCTGGAGGCTTTTATCAGAGGAAAAGATGTCTTTGCTCTTCTCCCGACTGGTTTCGGCAAGAGTAGCCTGGCTTGTGGTTGTGTTTTCGTCGTCGCTCTGTTAGCACGTCATATGCTTCGTTGATCTGATTGGTTTATTTGGCCCGTCTATCACCAACATAGGCCAATCAGCTAACCAGTATTTTCGCCCCTTCCCAAAATTACTTCAACGGAAGGTTTCCAGATGGATATGTGGAGCAAATCCATCTGGAGGAGTCAGGTTAGGTAGGGATTACCCTGTTGTAACACACAGCTGTGTCCAAGTTTCCACCATTAACCCAAAATGCCCCACACACCTACCTACACCCAACACAAAAACAGTAGAAAACTGTTTAGAGCCCAAAGATCTAGTCTATAATTAACTGGACAAGCTGGATTTGAAATTGGCAGATGAAAAGATTGATCTGTTTAGCCGCAGTGAAGAAAAGAATGTGTTACAGGGTTTAGTAAGACATTCACACCTAAGAGAAGATTACACATACAGTACAGTACAATGGTGGCAGAATTATGCTGTGGGTCTTTTTGGCTTCTACTGGTTCCTGTGCTTTGCAGGAAGTTGCTGAAACAGTGTAACAAGAGGACTCTCCACAGTTTCTACACCCTCACCCCATGCACAGTTGGAAAATGATGGACTATGCTTAAAAGGCAGAAACACTCAAGAAAAGTCAACCAGTTTGCTTATACTCCACCTTTTGAGCTAATAATGTAGGAAAATATCAAAGAGAGAGAGGCTTTCTGATGGTTGACGCACATCTTTGCTAAAGAAGTTTGATCAGATATTATCAGTGTAAGTCTGTACTGTATGTCCGTACATGAATGCATTGGACATTTAAACTATTTGTGTTTTTTAAACTCATTTGATAAGATAAGTGGGTAAGCTATTGAGTAAAACTGCAAATTGCGATGAACTCATGGGGAGCAGCTTTTTAGAAACAAACAGATCCCCTGCAGTTTGGGAAAAACTGAATCATGTCTAATTTTCTCTGGAAAAAGGGTTGCTAACTGACCTAAAGTTCACACTGAGACCTTTGGTGTTTATAGCTCTAAGATGTCCCACTTTAACGTGAGGAACATGCTGCTTTTATTGTTGCAGTTTCCCCAGGGGGCGCTTTACTCTGAGATCTAAGAGCCTCACCCCTGCCCCCTTTTCCTATCTTTGGGGCTCAGCCTCTTAAGCCTGGGCCCCCACCCAGGGGTTCTTTAAGGCCACAGAAAGAGGTCACCCCCACCCAGCCGACACCCCTCCATCCCTTCTGGCTTAGCTGGATCATAAGTGCAGAGTTGTTGTGGGGCCCTTTGCCAGGCCCCAACTGGCTGCAGCGACGGTGCCAGTGGATGACCCTGGTTATATTTATCTGGCGATGTGGTGCACAGAGCCAGACGCACAGAACCAGAGAGGAATGCCAGGACTGCTGAACGATGAGCTGAAAGACCAACCAGCTTCCTTACATAGGGAACATGTTGGAAAACGTTATTCAGCTACTCTACATCAGGCAGTATGGAAAACTGAGCAGTGAGTCGCAATAAGGGCTCTGAGAATCTAACGTTCAAAGAAGCTGACACAGCGTGAGCGTCTGGGAGTCTTTGGGAGAGGAGGGGAGGGCTGGGCTGGAGGGGGGGGTGGGCAGGTTGATTACCAGAATTGGGTCTTGGCTTCTGCTCTGCGCTCCCTGTCTCTTTGAAATTAATCTAACAACTCATGACTTGGCAAGCCTAGGTTCGTGTTTAGACACGTCCTTGTGTCTCCCCGCTCAGACTGCAAGGCTGTAGCTTGCTATAAATAAATACTTCAAACATTCCTCCGTACGCTATGCATGTGACCACTATGGAAAAACTCATTACTTTTGCTCTACAGTCCAATAATTTTGATTGAAATGCCACGTATTTGGCAATAAAATGTGCTGCTGAAAACACGATCTGGTTTTTTGTTTGTTTTTGTTTTTTACCATGCATTCTTGTTTCGTGTGTAATTTAATTTGCAGCAGGACAAAAAAGCCATAAATTACTCTCTCGACTCAGTAACTTTAAGAAAAAAAAAGTCAATTTATATATTAAAAAAAAAAGTAGGATAGAAACACTCAGTTTTTCCATGCTACGGGTATCAAGCTTGTAAAGGAGGCTTAAAGGGTCTGGTTTAACTCCTGAAACTGAGCCAACATGTTGTGAAGCCAAGAGAGTCGACTCATGTGCAGTCCCCTCATCCGTCAAAGCCTGAAGCTGTTACCGCTGCCTCCCGCCTTGTCTTGTTGAGCTCCACATTTCATTAAGGCGAGGTTGAGCAGAGGTTGCACCTGATACTTCTCTGTTTAAAAATTAACATCTGCACACAATTAGACCTCATGAATATCCCAAGTACCTTATGGGCAGAGCTCCAGGAATGAAAGAGTAGCTTCTGCTCTTTTGGATTTTTCTCTCTGGTGCATCTTTATGGCTGTAATTAAAGCACCGGGATGGAAAAAAAAATACCTGTTCTTCCACCTCTCACTGAGCCATACTCCTAGTTTGTCCTGTCCTTACTTTGATTTGATTAGTGGCTGTGCTGCCTCTGAAATTACATCTTTACCAAATGTAAGACTGCAGTGAAAAGAAGTTTAATCTCATCTAGGGAGGTGGGAGATAAATGAGCCAGAGGGCCAGTGTTATGGAAAGTACAATGACAGTAAACCATCCCTCAGCACCATGGTGCCACCGCTGCTGAATATTTGAAGGCCTCAGCTTGTTAGCTCAGAGGTTTGTGGAGCGGAAGAGAACCAGCAGAGCTGTGTCGGTCACTGAGAACACCTGCTGACCTAAACAAAGCAGGTCATACTAGAACTCAGTGCATGAGTTGAAAAATATAACTAATAAAAACTGATCAGACAGATATGAAGGGCTGCACAATAGGTCCAACATCAGTTCTCACCCCAGAATTAGGGTATGCATTACTGCAAATGCTGATGATTGCATAGATGCAATATTTGGTAGGTGATTGGATATTTTAGGGAAGATTCTTTAACATAATCCATGTTCTTCCTCCTAGACTTGGTCTTATGATCCTTTTTTGATGTGTGAGGATAAAGAGAAACACGAAATAGTTGTAATAGAGAACATATTAGAAATGTTGTTCTAAAAGATGATCGTGACTGAAATGACAGAAAAGCTTCAGAGTTTTTACCAGGCTTTCCAGTGAAGGTGGAGTGCATTACAAAAATAAACAAAAAATTGAACCTTGAACAGTTTGTAAGCTCTTGAAAAAGGCAAGAAAAGGTTTGATTTAATCGTGGAAGTTCACAAAAACAGTCTGGCGCCTGAGGAGGGCGACTCAGGAACTAAAATATAGGTCAGACTTTTGCATTGAACTATAGATGAAAAGCTAGGTCTCTTTGATCCCTACTCACGTTTAAAGACGGCGAAGAATGGGTAAACATTTGGTTTTTAACCTGGAAACCTTTCAGCATCACAGTAAAACACACTGCAGTAGCTTCCACAAGGATTTAGAATGTGAATTAGAAGAAAATATCCATCAAAGTTCTTTTGAGAACAACGTTGAACATTCAGGGCTGGCGTTGTTGAGGTTCTTCTATCGTCAGAGAAACCTCTGTTGTCCGGCTTTGTGCATGTTCTCAACCAGCTTCTGAATATGCAGGAAATAACTCTTCCCACAGTATTGTGAGCACAGAATATGTCCATTGCAATCAAAAAGTTTCCTGCTTTTCTGAATGCACAGTATAAATAGCAACAAGAACAATTCAAGGATCATACATTTCAAAACAGGACTTATAAGAGGATGCAATGTTTTTCCAAGAAGGAAATGCTCCTATAGGTAAGCAAACAGGCCTGTTTACTGCTTTCATGTGACTGGGCAGGCTTGCTTTGCCTCTGCAGAAGTTAAATATCAGAGCCAGGCGCATGGCTGCTCTACTGTATATTGCTAATTTTGGTCTGAGGTCTTGTCCCATATTTGGGTTTGGGTTTTCAACAAGCCGCACGCATGCATGCAACGACTTTTTGGGTCACCATCACCACAGCACAATTGCTGGGTGTGACGGATTTCTGACTTGAGGCAGCTGTTTTGAAACGGCCGAGCACTCCAGGATGTGCAAGGATGGACTTTGAGCAAAATACTCAACGTGGAGTCAATGTGTCTCCCAAATTGTGAAGAACTTTGAGTCGTTTTCTTCTACTTGTTCATGACCAGCTGTTGAT